GTCAGTCCAGATCCAAAATGCCAGCAAGTTCTCTCTGCATGAGAGATACAGCAACCCCAGACGATCATTTCAGCCTTGTTAGGCATCATCAGTGAGGCATAGCTGATATCTCTCTAGGCACCGTGAGCAAGGGGTCCACGTCTGGATTACCCTTTAAACTTATGGAGAGCAAAAAATAAGTCAGAGAGAACATATCTGAAGCATATCAGACTGGTCCCACCCATGCGGGCAGTCCAGATCCAAAATGACAGCAAGTTCTCTCTGCATGAGAAATACATGGGTAGATATCTGCTTGGGGCAAACAAAGGGAAATCAATTATTGGTTGGGATATGTTATAAACCACCTAATGTAAATATTATTGAGGAAGAACAGCTGTTACAGCAAATTGAGAAAGCTGCAAATCGAGGTAACACGTTAATTATTGGAGATTTTAATTACCCAGACATAAATTGGGATAGAGGGACTAGTACTTCAGCAAGGGGAATCAGGTTTTTGAATGTGTTAAATGACACCTTTATGTCACAACTGGTACAACTGGTAATTTAAAAAAAGCCAATTTCAATAAGATTAGGGCAGCTCTACAACATATCGACTGGCATAAACTCCTTAGTGATAAAAACACTGAGGATAAATGGAAACTATTCAAACAAATATTAGAAAGGTACATTTCTCAGTATGTACCACTGGGTAATAAATATAAAAGAAACAAATTAAAACCAATGTGGCTTACTAGAGAAGTAAAACAAGAGATTAAAAATAAGAAAAGGGCATTTAAAGCATTTAAATCAGACAAATCAGAAGCATCCTATTTAAGATATAAGGAAGCCAATAACACTTGCAAAAAGGCAATTAAAGTGGCTAAACTAGAAAATGAGACATTGATAGCTAAAGAATGCAAAACCAACCACAATTTTTTTTTCAAGTATATCAATTCTAAAAAAACAAAAAATTAAAGTGTAGGTACACTGGAAAGAGAGCTGGGTTTATTAGCTAACCAGGAAAACCAGGAAAAAGCTGAAATTTTAAATGAATATTTTTCTTCAGTATATATTAATGAGGATCCTATGGCAAGAGATATACAAATGATTGCTGCAAAAAACTTGCAAATAACTTGTGATTGGATAACTCGAGACAAAGTGCTACAGCTATTAAAGAAAATTAATGTAAATAAAGCTCCGGGGCCTGACAGTATTCATCCACGAGTACTTAAGGAGCTAAGTGGGGAAATAAGTGAACCTCTGTATTAAATCTTTCAAGATTCTTTTGTTTCAGGTGTTGTACCGGAGGATTGGAGGAAGGCAGATGTTGTTCCTATATTTAAAAAGGGTTCAAAATCCTTGTCTGGACATTATAGACCTGTGAGCTTAACTTCTGTAACTGGGAAAATATTTGAAGGGCTATTAAGGGATAATATTCAGGAATTCATTGGGAAGAACTTTGTTATTAGCAATAATCAGCATGGTTTTATGAAACATAGGTCATGTCAAACTAACCTAATTGCATTCTATGAAGAAGTAAGTAGAAGTATAGATCAGGGTGTTGCAGTGGATGTGATCTACTTGGATTTTGCCAAGGCATTTGATACGGTTCCTCACAATAGGTTAGTCTTCAAACTAAAAGAAATTGGTCTAGATGAATATTCTTGTTCTTCGGTAGAACATTGGCTTAAGGATAGAGTACAACGAGTTGTAATTAATGGTAAATTTTCAGACTGGACAAAAGTGGTAAGTAGTGTCCCTCAGAGTTCTGTTTTGGGACCACTTCTATTTAACATATTTATAAATGATCTTGAAATAGGCATTGAAAGCCATGTATCAGTGTTTGCAGATGACACAAAACTTTGTAAAGTAATAAAATGTGAACAGGATATTGCCTTGCTGCAGAGGGATTTGGATAGATTGGGGGACTGGGCACTAAAATGGCAGATTAAATTTAACGTAGAGATATGCAAAGTTATGCACTTCGGGGTTAAGAATGCACAAGCAACTTACACACTAAATGGTAGTAAATTAGGGATAACCACACACGAGAAGGATTTGGGAATTGTTATAGATAACAAATTAGGCAGCAATATGCAATGTCAATCTGCAGTTGCTAAGGCCAGTAAGGTTTTGTCATGTATAAATAGGGGCATAAATTCTCAGGATGAAAATATAATTTTGCCTTTTTATAAATCGCTGCTAAGACCACACCTTGAATATGCTGTGCAATTTTGGGCACTTGTTCTAAAGAAAGATATCATGGCACAAGAAAAAGTCCAGAGACGAGCTACAAAATTGATAAAAGGAATGGAGCATTTTAGTTATGAAGAAAGGTTAAAAAAATTAAATCTGTTTAGTTTGAAAAAACGGCGCTTGAGAGGGGATATGATAACTTTATACAAATATATTCGGGGCCAGTACAAACCTTTATCTGGAAATCTATTCATAAACAGGGCTATACATAGGACACGAGGTCACACATTTAGGCTGGAAGAAAGGAGATTTCATCTAAGGCATAGAAAATGTTTTTTACATTAAGAGCAATAAGGATATGGAATTCTCTGCCTGAAGAGGTGGTTTTGTCAGAGTCACTACAGAGGTTTAAACTGCAATTGGATAAATACTTGCAAAAAACATAACATACAGGGATATAAATTCTAATTAGTGGGGTAATAGCTGCTTGATCCAAGGAGACATCTGACTGCTATTTTGGGGTCAAGAAGTAATTTTTTTCCTAGTTTGTGGCACAATTGAAAGCGCTTCAGACTAGGTTTTTTGCCTTCTTTTGGATCAACAGCAACAACATATGTGAGGAAGGCTTAACACAAGTCTCTTTTCAGCTATGTAACTATGTAACTATGTAACATCCAGCAAAACACAAGGAGCAAAAATAGTCTTTTCTCTATTCCACCATCCTTTCTTTCTGGTGCCAGAAAAAGCATTCCAATCACAAATTCAAACTAGTTTGTGCAAGTCGGTTTCCCCAAGATTCGGGGATGTGGTGGCTCAGACAATCCTAATTTTGCCTGGTCGTGTGATTGGACTATATTCAGTCGAATTTCAAGTCAGCCACAAAACAAATCTCCAAGTCTAATAGACTGATATTCTGAACATAACCATTATTCTAATTAGATAAACATTGTTTAGCTCTTTAGCATTCAAAAGATTTAATGTGCAAATAAAGTATTAGTCAGTGTTG